ACTAAATTCAAATGAAAATATCAGAACATTTGGTTGTTTACATTTAAGTGCAGTATCCATGAGTTGTAGCATACTTAAAGGCTCATTTAAATTGTTGTTTTTCTTTTGCTAGAAGATCATTCACTGGTCCTTCCATACCTTGAGAAGCAAAGACATTTCATAATGACCCTTTCCTTGTTTTTGCCGGAATTATTCGTCTCGTCAGACTTTATAAAAGACTTGTGTGTTTGGAAGAGATTGCAAGTTTGAGCAACTCTGAAAAATGCCTGACATGACACACAACATGTCTCCATGTGCTAAATCTGTTGAGTATGTTGAGTGTGCCAACCCCTGATACAGGCCTTAAATGTCGGAGAGCTTCTTATAAAACAAGCATTGGAACTCTTTTGTCCTCTGTGTATTGATATGATGAAATGACCATCCTTTTTATAGCAGTTGCACAGACAATGTAGTTAACAGAACAACACACAGTATGTAAAATCATTATTTCTGCTTCATATTTGTCCTCAACAGAGCTGTTCAGCAAGAGTTCGGCTGTAAACGTCATAGGCTAGTCGCAAGTGTGATCAATACTAGAAGCAATGCAAGCCGTGTGACTGTGGCTCACGCTTTGAACAAGGTTACAGATGCAGTCTTGTGGTATTCTGTCCTGTTCCTCTCCTACAGCCTGGGCAGGCTTGTATCGGTTCACTGGTCCCTCAGCCCTAGATACATCAGCAGCATCCCAGCCCATCTCTCAAGTGTTTGACCTTGAGTCTAATTCAGTATATAGCATTGTTATCAGTCAGAGTGCTTTACAGGTAATGGGGTCTCCCCTCCACCACCACCAGTGTGCAGCCCCCACCTGGATGATGCGACGGCAGCCAGAGTATGCCAGAACGCTCCCCACACATCAGCTATTAGTGGGGAGGAGAAATAAATATTAGAACATTCAATTATTCATATCCTGACAGGAGAAGTTTTCACCAACAGGGAACAAGACTTAATTTGCTTTTTAAACCCATTGAATGTTTTCTGAGCCACAGAGCCAGTATGAAGGCAGGAAAAAATCATTTTAGTTCCTTTATTATGTTCATATTAAGGATCATATTTCATATCAAGGAT